GGAGTGCGAAGAAGGACTGCTTGGAGAGCGAAGGTGGGGAACTAGGGAACTAGGGAATAGCTCGGAGACCCATTTGCCTCTATTTTTTAATTAGGGTCCGCTCTCACGAATTATCCACTTGTAGCACGTTCTACTACACAAAGTTGAATCAGGGAGGTCTATCGAGAGGTCTACTTGTCGGGTAATACACCCCAATCAAAGAGCTGGAAGATCAGCATTGCTAGCACCAGTAGACCCACAGAGCACTGTAGCTTTGATGTCAAAAGGGTCGTCGGGCAGATATTCTTAGAAACAGATGATTCATCAACTGGGCGTGCTTTCGCTCACTCACATCACGCTGCCAGTGCGTTTCTGCTCCGTCAAGCTTAGAGCGGAATCACCGCAGGAATCTAACATCCGCATTTGTCAACTACGGGAACGCTTCAATAGTATTTTTCCATTTTTCCTTTCACTATAAGACTTTCTAGTAGCAATTTTGATTTTTACAAACACAGCAGCCAATAATCTCGGTAATGCGATATTTGTGATCAATAGCACTGTATACAATAATTTTCGATCTGAATGGAAGTTAGATGGTCAAAAGTATAAAGGTAGATTAAATCCGTGGCAAACTGAGTGATTGGCGTACGTATTGCTTGAAATAAATATGCACACATTATAAAGGATAATGGAAGGACGTAGTGTAGTGGCAAGTGGAGCACTATTACAGACGCATGGCCATGGGTTCGAATCTCGGATTTATATTCGCCTATGACAACCAAGCCTTCCATCTCTGCGAGGCCAGTTAAGTGGTATCAGACTCATCTGGGAGGATAAAAGCACTGACTTGTACGTCGGCTGGGCACCGCAAGTCATTGTATAGGCCATATCAATACACCACTACGCTTCTGAATGGAAGTCGAATGCTAGGCGCATCCCTCAAACAGGGATTGATCAACGCCCAAAACCTGATTCTTTATCAAGAATAGCTTGACATGGTATAATACAAAAGATCGCAGTTATTCAACGAAGTTTTGAGCTCAAAGATATGCACACAATCGTGAAGAACACTGAAGCACAGCCTAGAGAATGCAAACCCGCAATTTTCAGGCTTTTTGGCAATTGCCGATTCATAAATAAATTTTGCAAAAATTATATTAGTCAATGAACCCAGCTGTCAAACTTTACGAGTCGACCCAGTTAAATCGATCGAGGAACCCAGGCTGAAATTGACGGTGGGTAAGATTTTGTGGAAGAAATGGTCACAGATGAGCGTTTGCTCGGCGGCAAGACGTCCCGGACTCGA